TTTACTTGTTTCTGTATATGTGAGGTCTTGGCATTGCTAAAACCGAACTTAGATTTTTGAGATGCGTATGGTCTTGAAAAATCTTCCCAATATTTAATTTCCTAGTTTTCCCGGTTCTCGAATTTGAATGATTCTCGTCAAAACTTCCACGTTTCTGTATGTGAAATCGAAACAAGGACTGCCAATAATTTCCAGCTGCTGGCAACTCTGGATGGTCAAATTCAGTTCTTTTATGGAAAGCTGCCAGTAATTTCCCATCTAAACTGCCACGTCTCCGTACGTAATATTTAGACATATTGAGAAAATGATTTTGAAATCTCTAAATCTTACACGAGCATGGAACGCTCTCAAAAATTTCAGCTCCCTAGTTTTTCTGCGTTTCGAATTAGCAGTTTTCCCGTCAAAAATTTCGCTTATTTGTGCGTGAGAAGTAAAGTGTGTAAGAGTTAGTGCTCCGCTCCTGAAGTCGTATTTGGCCAGGAAAACACTGACAAAACTTCAATACCTTGGTCGCTTGGTTGCTGGATTGCAACGCCTTGCCAGAAGAATGCACTCTGAACGTTCTCACAGTGTGCTTTTTTACTGACTAATGCAGCACAACAGCGCTGTTCTGCAAAAACGCAGAAAGAAGGAGTTTTCTCAAGACGTAGGTGATGTCTTCTTGATGAGTTTTAGGAAGGCACTAAAAACACGATACCATTTGCAATGCTTTTGGGCCTTTTCAGTTGGTGAAATAACTTTGCTTAGGCATTCAAGGTCATTTATTTGGTTGTTTTCGTGCGCTTTGCAGTTCATAGGTCGCTCTTACCATCAGCCATGCAATGATTAGTTTATTAAGAGAAACTGACACTGAAATTTGAACAGTAGGAAGGAAAGGGGACAAGGACTGTGCAGGCCCTCAGTGCCGTGGCGTTTAAATAAAACGTCCTGCTAAGCAAGGCTTCACTTTGGGTTTCTAGTCTTCCAGAAGCAGGCGGCGATCACAGTATTATTTTACAGTTCTTATCTGCTTCTCATGCATCCAAAAAAGACTGTTTTTCTACTACACACAACCTGGATGTCTTTTTCACAATTAGTAAATTACGTTTAATGCGGACTTTCATCGCTGCCGTCGGCACATTGTTCCTCACCGTCCAACACGTTAGTAACCGATATGCATTCATTCGTACTCATACATCGAAATTCACCGTCTGAGCAGCCCTCCTTTGGCTCTAAAATTAGCAGTAGCAGCCACTTCCTGATAAAAATTGATGCATCTAAGGCACGGTATTATTCTTAAGACGTCACCCTGCCTATGTCTGATTTGGGTTGACAAGCAGGTGAAGAACTGAGAGTGGATTTTAGTGATAACAGTTTCTAAGCGAATTCAGTAGTAAAGTACGATAATGTTTAAACGATGGCTGCAAGCCGAAAAAATCTAAATGAAATCATCAATTATTACTTTCCGCACCGATGTCGACATCAAAAGGAGATGTCGTGATCTGCTGAATTTTTGTTTCATTGCAACCTGGCAGTCCCAACGCGCACAGGTCTAAATAAAAAGTAATCAAAAATTTGTGAAATCGCAGCACCGTCTCGTAGCTAAGATCGACTATTAAATTATGAACATATAGCCCAAGATAATGATTTTTCCCGTCAAAACTTCAAAGAAGACATTGAAAATTAGCGAAGTCGTATGTGGACAGCGGATGTCATGCTAAAATTTTAGCTTTTACAGTTCATGAGATAATAATTTAGGCGCCAAAAGTTTCACAAGGCCGTACGTGATACCGCAGGTACGGAAAGGCTAATTTTAAATTTGAGAGGTCATACGCGGACAAGGGACATATCCATAAAATTTCAATTTCCTAGATTCCGTGGTTCCCGCGATAACAATTTACTCGCCAAAAGTTTCACGGAGCTGTTTTGTTACCGGTGGGCATGGGAAGGCTGAATTTAAATTTTCTAGGTCGCAGGTGCGCAGGACATACCCAGAAAATATTAACATGCCAGCTTCCATGGTTATCGCGATAATAATTTTACTCGCCAAAACTTTTACGGGCCGTACGCGTTACTCGCAAGTGAGGAGAGGTTGAATTTAAATTTTGCGGGGCCACGCGTGGGTGGAAACATTCCCCTAAATCTTAAGTTCCCTAGCCTTTTTGGTTCCCGTAGTGAAAGTTATGAACAAATTGTTGCGGACACACATACACACACGCAAGTAACTCCGTGACAATATGCGTTTTGTATTGCTGTTACATGGCACAAAACGCATTTTTTATGGAGGCTGAAGTTTTATGAGCGTGTTCCCAGTCCATATGCAGTCCCAAAAATGTAAAATCAACTCCTACAGATATTCATGTTCCATGCACGGATATCTGGAACAAAATGTATTAAGGTTTTGGCCGAAATACAATTTCTTGAGACTCAGGCATGACAGGAAGCTAGATTTTTGTTCATTCATTTTCTAAAAAATTTTAATTCGCCCATTTTGTGTGCCTAGGCTACGTATGCGAACACGCCAGAGATATTTTTGGCATGAAGCAATTTTGCGATCTGGTCAAGTTAAAATAACTGCCAATGCTTTCTGCTCAATTTATAAAACTATCTTCGTCCTTCTCTCTCATCAACTGAAAAAGCTAGATAAATAGCGGCGTGCACCAGGGGTTTTGTATAACTTTACATAGCGAACGGTTGTTCAGTTCTATCTGGCTGATGCTTTTGCAACCTTGTCCAGGTGTGCTTGTGCAACTCTGTTCAAAAATTAGCTGTTAGAAGTGTTCACTGCATTATTGTTTGATACGTTACATCTCAGTTTTGGCGCCAAGACCTTATTATTTACGATTCTTACTTTATTAATATTTTTTAAAATTTTCGCATATTCATACCAAGGAATTAATGTTGCGCAGGAACCGGATTTACACACAGACACGAATACTGTTCTGAAATTTCAGCTTTCCTGCTTCCGAGTTATTAATTCGCCAAAAATTTCACGCGTCCCCTCGTGAGATCTAAATATGCGAGGAAGCTGAATTTGAGTTTGCGAGGTCAAACGCCGAAAAGAAAAACCCCTTAAATTTTCAGCCTCTTAGCTTTCCTGGTTCTTGAGTCATTAATTCTGAAGCAAAAATTTTACGTAACCGTACGTAGAGCCTAGACGAACGGACGATGAATTTGGGTTTGCGAAATCAAAAGCGAGTAGGGGGACCCCCTTAGAATTTCACCTTCCTAGCTTCTTTGGTTTCCGAGTTGGAACTGCCGGATAAAATGTACTTGGAACACACACACACAGACAGGGTTTCCAGAGTATGGGTTTTGTGCAACTGCGCAGCATAAAACGCATAAAAACTGTAATTTTATGAGAACGTTGTCTAATCTTGTCCAGCACTAAAAGCATGAGATTAGCTTTCAGCATGGTGACACCTCGTGTACAGCACCCTGTTCTCAAGTATTCAGACACGCTAAAGCTGAAATTTTACGAGCACTGCTGCCCTAGCTGACATCTCCACGCTAAACAAGAAAGACCAACACGAAAATGTTCAAAATTAGTGCACGAAAGTGTTCAAAAATTACCAGCGAATAGTAATTGTAATGATAATAATAGTAATAGTACAAGCAGCATTGATGCTAGCAAAAATAATAATTACAATTACAATTATTATTATTACTGAAATAAATGCGATTACTGCAGTGGTGATGGGTAATAATAAAGTAATTAATATTATCATTATTAATATTGCTTTCACCACTATTACGATCACTATTATCATTGTTATTATTATTGTTATGTTGATAATAACAACAGGTAGTAAAATTAATAAAAATAATAGTGGTGAAGAAAACAAATTTCCCAATAGTAAACACAGCATTGTATTAAAATCATGTTACATTAATAAAACACAATAATTTTTATTACAATTGTAATTTAGTAATAATAAGCATAAAAATAACAGAACGACAATAATAATAGCAATGCAAGTAGCAGTAACTGCAATTAGCAATTGAAAAAATATAAAACATAAGCAAACCGTAAAGTAGCGACCATTTATATTTTTACCACCTCTCATGCTCAGCGCTAATTATAGCATTTCATCAATGATGTGGAAACGCACAAAAAGTGACCCTCATCTGAGCCGTCGGCACAGTCGTCCACGCCATCCGCGATCCATTGAGGTAAAATGCAGTTTTCCGTTGTAGCACACTGAAAATGATTCGGCTCCAGGCAAACGTTCCGCCCTGCAAATCAGACATCATCAAGAAGCGTTGGAATTCCTCATCATACTTATTGTGTCCTAACCCAGTTTTTATTTCTGGTAAATATCCTTCAAAAAAAAATCAGCTTTTAAACATTTTATTAGTGAAGAAGGACGAACATCGACGGTCGCTGCACTGCAACTCGCGATCTTTTGGCTTCACGCACTTACCACAGCCGCGTTGCAACTTCGTATCGCATAAAACACTATCTGCCGGGCATTCTATAAAAAAAAGAAATAAGTCAAGTCCACAGCTAATATGGCGAAAGATCAGCTCCAGTGTTTTGTTATATATAAAGAGGCAAGATCATGGTAGTTTGTAGCAAATTCAGTAGCGCATCCAATTCCCAAAGATAGTGACAACTCTGCAAATAGGATTTTGCGTGCCCACGGCATACAGGACATTGGTGTACATGAAAGCTCATTTTAGTGTTACAGGCATATATAGACAGCGAACATTCATGCGAAAGTTGAAAGTACAGTCGATCTTCCAGGTTAAAAAAGTGTTAATGCTAACGGTTACCTCTTGTAACTCCACTTGAGCATTCATAAAGTTTAGGCAGTCTTGAATCTAAATTTAAAATATCTAGATCGCACACAGAAAGAGTAGATTCTCGTAAAATTTCAGTTTCTGGTTTCCCATATCCTTTTTCGCCAAAACATTTTCAATTTTTTTGGTTGTTCATATTTAAGACGAAAATACGCATGAGAACTGATTTTATGTTTATGGGCCTTTGTCTCCCACTATAAACTCAACATTCGGAAATGCTGGGAAGCTGAAATTTTTGGAGCATGCTCCTAGCCCGTGTATGATCTACCTTTTTTAAAATTATCGTTCACCGTCGAGTTTCACGTATGGACGTCGAAAAGAAAACGCTGGCGGGGAAACGACTTTAAGAATCCTTGATGGTTCTGGTAACTCTAAAGATATCGAGAAGCACAGTTTTGCCTGATTGGGCTTGAATGGTATGAAACAATTTCACAGACAAAACCAACACGGTGCATTCTCGAACGCTTGAGCCTGTTAGAGTATTTCACGTATGTACCACGTTACGCCCGAAATCGCCTAGTTTGTTGTCACTTGTCGAAAAAATTTTTCTTTTTTTCGAAGTGTCCAAGCCAACCATCGCGCGATGCTTCGAGGTGCTACCGGGAGTCACTTCGCCATTTATCTTTCAGAATGACCTTTTCCATTCCCAGACAAACGTAAATATGTTAAAAAATATTGAAGTAATATTGAAAAGGGCGATAAAAAAACGGAAATATGAAAGTAAAAACACCGACGTGGATTTCCATTAAATCCACAGCGGAGATTTGGCTGAGAAAAATTTATAGCTGAGAAATAACTGGAAAACTAAAACTTAGAAAAAATATTTTATTTCTCCACACAACAATGAGGTGCCTGATATGGAATTTTGTGGAAACCAGTGAAAATTTAAGGATGGTACTAAGAATCTAATTCATCATAGGGGCAAAGGCTGCCTCCAAAAATTCAAAACCTTCTACTGGTCATGCTGCCAGAAATGAACTACAGGCACTCGAGCACCCGCTATACACAAAATACCAAATAAGAGGATAAAAAAAAAGAAAATCCAGTCTCAAGCTGAGAAGTATGCAGCAGCACAAGAAGGACCGTTGTTAAGTTTCTGTCACTAAATCGACAATGAAAAGTGGTGGCTAAAACAGAAAAAAAGTGCTTTATCGAAATTTTACCATTTTGGTGGTTGAATAAAACAAAGGTGAGCTCGTAAAGGATTTCGAGCTTTTGTCTTTTTGTTTGCAAAATTCGAAGGTTAAAGGGAAAGTGCGGATAACTAGATTTGTTGGAGTAGTGTAAATAGAGAATGACACGGAAACAAGTAAAATCACCTTCATCCGCTGCATTCGGGCAATCAGCGAAACAATCTCGTACAGCCGACAGGGGTACGCATGCCTGGAAACCAGCCGGATCGCAGTCAAAACTGGCTATACATCTGCCGCCGACATGCCCCGGATACTCTGAAATTCCATTATTCATTTTTATTCAGCTCTATAAGTATGAAGTGAAAGATTCTATGTTCGCTTGCTGTTCGATGCATTGAGGCTGAGAGTGACCAGTTAAGCCAAGGGGAAGGAAACTCAGCTTTATATAAGGTGTTCTCTTATTCAGCCAAAAGAAAACGTAACAACGCAAAAGGATGTTAAAACTTTGGTAAAGACGTGAGACTGCGCTGAAATCAAAGGCTGAATTGGAAGACTAATATAAAATGTCAGCTGAAAGGTATCACTAAAACTTTTTTCCTACTAGCTGTAGTTTCATCGCTACGTCCCTTTCCATCGTTCCTTTGGCTAGCAATTTCTCCATTTTTATGCGTTTTTGCTGTGCAGCGCAGCGAGCAAAAACTCATATTGTCGCGAGATCATCCGTGTGTGTGTGTTCGGAAGCGAGTGAACTTTGTCAGCCAATTTCATCTTAGCAACCAGGAAAGCTGGGAGGCTGAAATCTTGAGTATATGTCCCCACTCCGTGTGTCATCCTCTTGCTTTAAAATTTTCGCTTATACGCGCCTACACCTCGCATACAGATCCCCGAAAGACTATGCAAGTTTCTTTGGTGAGGAAGCTGAAACTTTGCAAGGATATTCTCTGTATTCATGTGCGAACTAAAAATTTCAAATCCAACTGTCGCATACGCTTGTGTAACACGTACGATCACGTCGAAGTTTGCAAATTGATATTGTGCTAACTCGAAAACTTGCCGGAAAACAGTGGCTGAAATTTCGTCGGCATGTTTGTCGCCCATATGGGAAGTCGTATACCTGAGATCAGCACCGATTTGCACTTGCGCCACGACTTAGAGCACTTCAAAGATATTTGTAGCGAAGTGGCTATTTCGCTTACCGGATAAGGTGCGAGACTGAAACTTTGCTGGTCCGAGACCGAAACTTTTATGTGTGGCCCTCTACTTGAAGGTGAAATTCCTTGCAGGTAGTTTGAAAAATACCCAACTTTACCGAAAAATCAGAAACGAGTGCATTTTGCAACGAACGACCGCCCTCATCTTCTCCCATCATCCAGTTCATTTACATATTTTGATTTTTTGACGAACGGTAGCTAGACGGGAACTGTTTATTTTTATTTATGCAAAATTGACGATGATTTACGGTAGAGTGGGCGCACAAGGTAAAGCAGCAACCACCCAAGTAGTTAACGACCTGATTACTTCAAGTTTGGGCAAAAACGCATGATCGCACTGGCAAGCCTGTTTCGCTTCAGCCTGGGTTCATCTATTTTAAGCTTCCCTCATGGATATTAAACTATGAATTTTGTGATGACAAGAACGGAGGAGGAAAATGCGAGACGGCAATGATTTCACTGCATTTGGTGTCCATGATAGGGAGACGCAATTGTATCAGGCAAAGTGCTGCACAGAATATGACAATCTGCTATATCCGTAAATACAGGTGACCAACGTGAGTGAACAAGATTCAGGCTATCATGAAAAAAGCAAATATAACAGTAATACTGGTTAAATGAGGACCTGAAGGGAGCGGCGAGTGAGCGGAAATACAGCATGGAATAGTGATCCGGAAAGTTAGGAGGAGGAGCAGCATTGACCATCCACCTCCAACATACTTCCTCCAAATAAGCGTCTGATTCGGGCCCCTAAAACATCGCTGAAAGGTGTAAAGCCGAGCGCAACGTCAGTGACTGGTAGTGAAAGTGGTAGTAGCACTGATGCGTATGCTTACGGATGATGGCTTCCAATAAATCAAAGCCTCTCCCCACGGATATATCTGGCACACGTGCAGGCATCATACTGCCCGACATTTTCGGAAACCAGCTCCATTCGAGCAGCCACAGTATCCTCATTTCACTCACTTGACCGCTCGTTTGTACGATAACACATTTTTCTCCAGTTTCACTTTTACTGACAAAAACTGGACAATATGTTGTGAAGGCTGCGCAGCAACTGAAACGATGCTATACTTGCATTCCCTCCACGTAACTTTTGCACATCGGCGCCTTTCCACACTAACTCTGAACCCCGAAGTGATTGGCAATACACCTGTTCTAGCAAGTCAAACGAAGTCTTGTTCTCCTTAGCAAACTGCATCAAAGCGTTTATATATGTGGTTCGAGCAACTGAGAAAAAGCGTATAGCAGAATTTCCTTTTAGTTCATTAATTTTTTTAGATCCGATGGCGTGAACTTGGTGGGAAAAATGCATTTACATACGTGGAATATTTGAAACAACTGTAATTCATAGTCCAGCTCATAATTTCCTTCAAAAATGCTACATCGCTTGGTGATCAGCTTGCTGGCGACCCAAATTTGTTTTGTCTTCTGAAGGGATTACTAATTCAGCGGATCGTCTGATAATAACTACAAAAGTGACAAAGTTTTGAAACTTCCGTTGTTTGACAAAAATTACTGTTTGAGGTGGCCGCGGTGAGAAGGAATCTGAATATAGCGCCTATTAATTCCGTTCAGTTCGTTCTGTAGCTTAATTTTCTTTTTATTTTCGTCGTCACACCAG